TCAAACTCCATTATGTACATCAGATCAGAGGTTGGCTGGTTGATACCCAAGTTTTTATCGGCCCACTTATCCCAGTGTATGTGTGTGTCTGCATATGTTGTTTATGTGAGAGTGTATATTGGGGTGTTGATGCCGAGGCTGTAGGGATCTCTGATGGGTTGTCTGTGTGTGTGTGTGTGTGTGTGTGTGTGTGTGTGTTCCCTGGCGGTGATGAGACCCTGTCTCTGACACGATGCTGCTCTGTTAAGGTCAAGCCCTACAGAATGTCAGAGATGATGACACGCACTGAAAGGTTTCATCTAATCCCTCCATTTCCCCTCTTCCCCTCCGTCCCTCTAATCTTTCTCCCCCACCTCTGTCTCCGGCCCACTCACTCACAAGACAAGACAGACATATACCGGCCTTCACCTAGAGTCGGCATCAAGACTCTCTGTGGGTGTGTTTGTCTATGTGTGTGTGTGAGTGTGTGTGTGTGTGTGTGTGTGTGTTTAAATGGCGTCAAGCCATGCCATCCCACTAGTAAGGCCAATTCAGAAACGCCTGAGGCCACTGTCTCTGTGTCTGCATGGTTGGCCTGGTCTTTACAACCCACTGTCAAACATCTTTGCTTCATTCTACAATGGCTGCACATTTACTGATACTTAGGTTATACTTGGTTGCTTTAATATAGTGGGACTTACAGTGAATGCAACAGTAGAATAACCAGCAATCCTGAAGATTCCCAGCATGCATGTGGTTCATAATGATGTGCAAGAGATCTTTATTGCACCATTCTACAGATTACAACAGTTTTGAAAACAGTTTTGAAATGAAACTGGCAATATGTTTGTCCCGATTTCAACTTTTATATTCAAATTGGTTGACATCACCAATTTATGTCGAAATCTTTGCCTTTACTTTTGAGGCATTTGGCTGACATTTTCATCGCTGCAACAACTGAATGAGTTTTGGAATGGACTTGAGTACAGGTCTTGTTCAAAATGCAGGAACCAGAGCTCTGCGTGAAGGCATGGGGAATGCTATATTTCTATCTGATCCCTTCAGATCTGTTTGACTTAACTAAGTTTAATGCCTCTTCTTTTCACATTTACAAAGAACGCCTCTTGACAGTCCTTGGTTGCATGTGAGAGCAAATCTAATTCTGTTATTTCTAAATAGCGTCAAATGAATTCAATTAAGCTGCCATGAAAAAGAATGTTATTTACACCGTATGAGATTACCTGGACTTAATTTCCTGGGGTTTTAAATAATTGACAAACAGCATGTGCGTACTTAACTAAGCCTCATATTATGCGCACAGTTGAACATGTCATCAGTTAATCTTAATGCTTTTTACTCCTACATTTTCCCTCATTTTTCCCTCTTTCCCTCGCTCGGCTGCTCCATAGTTAACACTTATTAAATTAGCAGTCATCCAGTGATCAAACAACAACCCTTCTCCATTTAGCCGACTGAGTGACGGCAGAGGTCTCCTCAGCATCTGGTGAGATGCCTAGTTTGGTACAGATGAGCACAGAAGCCCTGCTAATTATGATATTACAATTCCAGCAAAGTGTTTTGTGAAAGGACTACAGTTTGGATTTGTTTTTGTTTTTTTACCCTGGTAAGCAAAGAAACAATGCTGGATTCAAGATGCCTGGCTTCCCCTGCACCTTCTCTAACTGTCATTTATCTACTCACCTCTGTGGATTGGGTCTGGATCAGTGGAGGAATGGCAGAGATGGAGAGAGCAGAGGGAAAGGGGGGAATGAAGGATTATATAAAGAAGAAGCAGCACTTGACGGTAACTGGTTGAGATTAGCGCCTTAGGGGTACAGCAGTGGCTGTGATTTTGATACTGCGCCCCCAGCTAAACGCTGAAGGCCGCCTTGCCTAGAGGAGTCTGCCTTCACCCACAGGCAGTCAAAGATTGTTTTCTTACCAGCATCTCCTCCTCCTCCTCCTCCTCCTCCACCCCACAGACACCTGTCATCTCCAATGTCAAAACTCTACACAGACAGGAAAAGACAACGCAAAGAATAAACAAAAGAAACATGTTTTTTTAAAGGCACACTCTGCATACAGATCTGTGAGGGTGAGGCCAAGGCTTCACCTGCAGCAGCCTGAGCCAAACGTATCCAGAGCCTTGACAAACGGGGCTCTACTGGCTATTTAGTATGATGTCTAAATAATAAAACAATTATATTAATCTTGCACAATTATAAGTAGGGGTTATCAATTCATTCAGCCCCAGCAATAACAAAATTTTCACTTGCTTCACAAGTGTCTTTATATAAATGAAATTGTACAGACAGGTAATAATATTCTAAGCAAGGCTGTCCTTTCAAATCCCTGCATCTTTTGAGAAGAGCGCCACACTCACAACACAATACTAAGGTGTAAGACTGCAATAAAATTAAATATGGAGAAATTAAGGCTCTGCTCATTTTTGTATAATGCAAGTATTTAATGATATTTTTTTTTGTTTGCCCTGAAGGTGTAGAGAGAGTCTTATTTTCTCCATATTAATCAATAGTCGTACATCTAAAATTGACAATACATTAAACACTGACTATATACTGTATATATATATATATATATATTATTTGGTTTATTTGATAAATTAAAAAAGGTCATAATCAATTCAGAGAGAACATTGGGGATGCTCCAATTGGCCTGATAATCTGAAAGAATTACCATAGAATGGAAAAAAATAAATAACCAAGCTATTGTGAATTGAACTTTTTGTGGGGATTTTTCTTTTACCTTTTCCGTCCATAAAGATAATCAAAACAACAAGATCTATAATTTGAACTCACGCTGGCTTAGGAAAAATTATTTTTGTCAAATCAAGTGTGAATGACCTTTGCCGCCTTGAGAAAACACAGCTACCTGAGTGGCAAGAAACAGTAAACCCATCCTGGTGTGAAGTGGCCCTTGTCCATGAGTTGAGCAGAAGCATGAGATAACGTGACAATGGCAGCCCCGCCAGGCGGTGTTGTTGCAGCCAATGGGGGGCAGAGGACACAACAGAGAGTAATGGCTGCTACATGCCATCAGCCTCACAGCGATAAAAACACACCGCCACGTTTCATCTGCTCTGTTTTTCTCTGTTTTTAATTCCTTCTGTTTGTTTGTTTGTTTGTCGACCTTGCCATGTCAGGTGACCTTCCTCCATCCAGGACCCTGAAGAGAGGGGAAGGGGGGAAAAAAACCCAAACAATGAGCAGGACGCTGACATTTCTGCACAGAGAAACAATAAACAGCACATGCAAAATGCCCCCCACGCCCCTCGGACAATTTTACTCAAAAATATGTGTGTGTCTTGAACGTCCGAGGCTGTCCGGCTTGTGGCCACCATTGCCAAGGAAGTGTCATGGTGTCGTGACAACTTCAGCGACTGCGGTGCAATGGGTGACCCTCGGCCGATGGAGGGGGGGCGTTGAATCCTCCACCCACCCTGGATCCTGACAGATGTCATATACCTCCTCCATGGGCACCTTCTGTTTCCTGTTCACCTTTCTCCATCCTGCAGCGTTAGGGCTCCTGTCTCCACCTCGTCAAAGCACACACACACACACACACACACACACATACACACACATACACACACAAAGGGAGAGAGATAGACAGAGAAGGAGAGACATAAACTTGACCGATAGAGATTTTTAAACACCAATATTTTTGGATTGACAGAGCTGATTCAGTCGATTCTACCAAAACAAATGCAAAGACATTTGGCAAAAGGCATTTTCCACCTGAATTAAATTCTTGATAGAGCATTTACAGACTCACGTCACACTTGTATTAATAAAAGGTCAAAATCCATCTGATACTTCAGTTTATTTCTCATAATCTGTTTGCACTGACTCTATTTATGCCTTTTGTTTAAATACTGTCTACTTAACATAAAAGGCAAACGTGCATCCTGCGCTCTCTGGCATTCTCATCGCCTTCTCAGAGAACGTTTCTGTTATTTACCAAAGGCTTTTCTCTGAAAACAGTTGGTATTTTAGTCTTAGCACACCCCACTCAAAACCTGTTTGCACAGATTTTTCCAATCATCCCTCAGACCATAGTTTGACAGAAACACTTCAACAAAATGAGATTCTGCCTCGTTACATTGTCTTATACTGTTACATCAAAAGTGTCACCAGCCCACTCCATGAATAACAAGTCTAACAAACCAAAAAGCCTCATGATATTAGATTTCCATAAACCTTCTGCTGGCTTCCTCCTCGTAGGGATTGTGTATCATCCACTCAAAATGCTCTCCTAGATGGAAATGTGCAGACTAAATCTGATCATGGTGCTAGATAATGTTCACTTCTCACTACTGAAACACAGACTCGGGTAGGAGACGGAGGGGATCCTGTGACTAACCCATCAATCACGCTGACGTTGGGCTCGAGTGATGGATATTCTAATTTCCCTTTTATATACAGGTGCATAGGATGGATGGATGACGATTAATGGACGGGCAAGGCTTTTCCAGAAAATAAAGAAAGACGCAGCAAGGCCTGCGGCATCACTTTGGAGGGCAGGGAGCTACATCTCCCTGTGTTTCAAAGATGATACCTCACATTTGGGACTTGATTTCCCCGCAAACACGTGAAGACAATGTATACATCCTGAGTTGACAAAGGTGTTGCTAACACAACAATCGTCTTCCCTCTACAGGGACCTACAACAGGTTCTGCAGTCACTTCTATGACAGCCTCGACACCCTCACCTCGCCTCATTTTCACACAAACTGTTTCATTTGCTATCACCGGCGTCATTATTCCCACACTTTCACCCTACCTCAGACTGCTTAGACCGTAATTTATTTAAAAAACATCATCCTCCTCAGGCCAACTCTGCGCGCTTATTTGTGAAACTCTTCAAAGTCGGAGTTGTGCCAAGCATCCTTTTGATGAAATCTTCTGACACATCAGCGCTGCAGGCTTGAATCTCTGAAGATGTCTCCTCAACAATCTCTTACCCTTTCTTTTCAAGCACAACTTTTTTTTCTCTCTATGTCAGGCTTTTAAGCAAACACCGCTTTCATACCGGCCCTTCCGTTTAACCACTTGCACTACTGGAGGTTAAATGGTTTCAACCCACTAATTGGCCAAAGTCATCTCTGACATGGAAGCAAACAAAATGATGGGAGAGGGGAAATGACACAAATTTGCATTCACAAAATTGAGTATGAGAAATAAAATGTAAACAAAATGTATTGTTGTGAATGATTTTATCTCTGCAGCAAAAGGGCTAGAGTCATGTATGTTTTTACAGAAGAATAAAACATTCAGCAAATCAGCTGATTTGCAGGGGCTATTTGATCCTGACTACATTCATATTTGGTGTTTTAGTTGGACATCAGTTGCAAACTATTTCCCCTGTGATTTCCAGTGTTTCCCTTCACAGCTGACATTGAACATGGGCATTCATAAACCATCCAGCGCGTGAGACTTTTCACAAGACAATCGAGCCTGAGATCTCTCTTCCACCTCCGTCCTTCTCCCCCTCTCTCTCTATCTCACTTTATCTCTCGCTCTCCATCCCTCCCTCCCTGTCCGAAGCTGTCCTCCCAGCCATCTGTCATGTGATGTTTATGGGCCCTTTTGCTTTTGTGTCCTGATGACCACTGTCACAGAGAGCTACCCATTACCGATGCGGCCTGATGAACGATGTTACCCAGACGCATTGCTGACACCCCTGTGTCCTTGGCTGCAGAGACGCTGCCTCGCTAGCCAGCTCAGGCCACTAAAGAATGAGGACGGGGGGACCTGGGGGAGCTGGACTGAGGACCTGTCCGTCATCCTGCCAACAGGATACTCATATCCCCCCTCCCCTCACCATCGTCGTCCCTCTCCTCTTTATCCAGCCAATGGAAATATGGGGCTGGTCAGCATGGCGGTGGCAATGATGTTGTCATTAATCCTGAGGTGGTGAATAGTGCCCTTGCCTTTCACCTAAATATATATCTACATCTTAACAGACACAGTAAAGGGACCCTTGCACCCCTCTAGAGGCCACAGAAGGTGCCCTAAGGGGTTAATGTAGGTAGAAAGAAATGATGAATGTTGTTGCGTGTAATTTTATCTGGCAAATAGAAATCGTAGTGCTTGTTTTGATCTTTTATTCAATATGAAGGCAGAGCAGTATGCTAGAGTAAGGTTTTATCATACTGTGTTGATAGTGGTAAATATAAGCTGTTCAAATGTAATTGTTGTTTTTACTATGCAGTTGAATCATGTTTTTAAAATTGTGTGCTTATTTGGGTTGCTCTTGAATGTGACCACATCTACTTGCAAAAATCATTTGTCAAATATTGTCTGGTTTACAATGGTTTGATCTACGTGCCTGGATGTTTTCTGCTCCAGCGAGTACTGATTCAGTGATATGCAGGTCAAAAGGTGTCTACTAACTATTACTGTTTTTTTTCAAGCTGGAATATACAAATGATACAAATGCTGCTGAAAGACCAGTGGTTCCCAACACAGGACTTGAGACCCCCTTAAGGGGTCGCAAGAAAGATCTCAGGGTTGGGAAATTATTAACCTTCAAACTCAAGGTCACCTTACAGTTTTTTCCCCCCAGATCATTAAACCACATCCTCAGCAAATGCTTGTATGTTAATGGTCAAATTATTTTTTTATATTTCTGACCATCCACTAATCTTTGCTTTGTATTGTAAAATAGGGGACCATTTCATCGTATCAACAATACAGGCGATTCTAGCAGAGGGAAACAACAGAAAACATAATCCTCTCACAACAGTGTACCATAATGTGAACAATATGCTAGACAAAATAAAAATCTCATTTAATCAGCGAGGCCTTCTCTCCTCTTGAGTCATCCTCCCTCCCTCTCTTTCTGACTCTGTATGAACGTCTTTACTGGCCGGTGAAGCCGCTGATGAATTCTTAAGCAGATCACACTGATAATTGTATTTCATAACTGTCAGTTGTGCGAAGGCTGCCAGTGTGCCCAGGAGCTATTTGTGTCTCAGTATGTCCCCCCCCCCCCCCCCCCCCCCTTCCACACACACACACTCTGTCCAACCCCCCCCACTCTGTCCAACCCCCCCAATCAACAGGGATGTGCCTACTGTCTCCGGCCTCGAATTACTCAATCAGGGGGACACATTTACGGATGACACCTTTATTACAATTAATCAGGGGAACTTGATTAAGAAAGTTATTCCTCCCCTTCACTGAGACTTACACAAGTGGTTCTGCTGCATACTGTATTGTAATTTATGTCCCACTGAGCTCTCACGCCGCTGATAGACAGAAAAGCCGACAGATTGCTAGCCATACTGAGACACATGTGGACGTGTGTTTGTGTGTGTGAGTGGGTATGTGTGTGTGTTTGTGTGCATGCAACCCCCACGCACATCTACATATCCAGAAACACATGCATAGCCACAAACAAACACATTCCCCTATCATTCTGTCATGCACAACTCAGGTTTCGCAAAGGGTTTAATAAATGACTTTAATTGGCTGTAGAGATGTGCCTGCTAAAGGAGGCTTGAATATTCCATTTCCCTTTCTTCTTGTCTCTTTCTTTCACTCTCCCTTTCTTTAACACACACACACACACACACACACACACACACACACACACACACACACACACACACACACTCCTGAATGAAGCCATCTCTTTACCTTTACTCACAGTTCCTGGGTCTGCTGTGGCTAATTAGTCGAGAGGGGTTTTAGGTTTGGTAATTAGGCAGAGGTAGGAGTGACGGGGGCTCGGGGAGTTGGGGAGTTGAGGGGGTCTGACTGACTTGTAGAGAAAGACTGGACTGTCTGGATCCTGGCAGCACCAAGCAGCCAGCCAGTGTCCCTTAGGCGCCTGGAGGTAGACTACCATCCCACACTATGAGGGTGATGTCTTTGTTATGTGCCACATGTTCCAGCAAGGGGAAACTGTGGAAAAAGAGGGTTTAGTGAAAAGAGAGAGAAAGTGAGAGACCTTGTGAGAATTTCACTACCTTGAATGTCAAAGTGCGACAATGAAAATCAGCTCTGTGATGTGGTCTTGGACCGTAAATTGAAATGGATTGGAAAGCTACAACAATTTTTTTTTGGGGGGGGGGTTTAAAGCAGTACAATAAAGGTAAAAAGAAGGGAGAAAGAGGGAGAAGAGGGAAAAGAGAGAAAGAGAAAACATTTTAATTTCAAATGGAGAGTAAGTCACTGTGGCTGCCACTGTGGCCCCAAGTGTCAGTTATGGCAGAATGGTAACTGCTACGACATGTCAACACAGTGGCACAAATGGACAAGAGTCATAAGGTCAGCGAACTGACTAAGCAACGCCAGTTACACAGCAATGCCTTGTCTTTAGTTTGCCAACATTTGCTAACATTAGCCACAATAAGCTACAGTCCAAGCAGAGCTGTAGCAACTTTCATTTGTAAGAGGTAGAATGAATTATTTCTTCTTTCAAAAGTTCCTCTTCTTTCAATTTTGTGGCTTTTCAGAAGAGCAATGATTAATTGGTAATCATAGTGGTTAGTATTACTATAAAATAACAATTCACAAGGCAATACAACTGTACTCAAATTAAGAACCATTTTTCTTATGCAATTCTTTGATAATACTTGTTATTGTTATCTATGATCAATATTTAAGTCATTCACATTTACATCAAGTTAAAAAGGGTAAACATAGTTTACCCTCCATTACTTCCA